GGAGTTGGAGCACGAGAGGAGCGACGCAGCCCAAAGCCTGGCTGTGGCCCACCATTTGGTGCTGAGGTGCTCTCCTTGTTTTCTTCAGGCTTCTCGTCACCAGCGCTGCTAACACTCCCCGCCGGAGAAGAGACTGCTTGTCCCCAAGCAGGTGCGCGAGGAAAGCGCTGCTTCAGGGCTTCATAGTCTTCCCATGTCGCCAACGAACGTGGAAGGCAGGACCACTGAATGAGGACTTGAGGCACCACCATGGCCCGAGAGTTGCCCACGCGCCACTGCAGCACCTTCAGTGGAAATTGGAGGCCGTCCAGCGCCTGTGGCAGTGTGGCGACAGAGTGGGACGCAGGGACCATCATCTTGAGCTGGGAGACATGGAAGACGGGATGGATTGACGAAGTCGCTGGTAGCTCGAGCTTGTAGGCAACCGGGCCAACCTTTTCCACCACCTGAAATGGGCCAAAGAACTTGAAGGCGAGCTTTTGGTTAGAGCGAGGCGCAAGCGACGCATGAACATAGGGCTGAAGCTTCAGATAAACCCATTCTCCCACTGAGAACCGTGTTTCAGAACAAGACTTGTTGGCCTGAGTGCGCATGCGGTCTTGAGCTCGAACAAGGTGCTGTTGAATTAGTTCAGACATCAAGGATTTGTCCTGTACCCAATCCGACAAGGACTCAGAGCTGATTGTAATTTCAGGGGTGATGCCGAAATGTCGTGGCTGATGGCCATACAGCACATAAAAGGGGGAGAACCCTAGAGAAGAATGCCATGTCATATTGTACCAGTACTCAGCTAAGTAAATCTAGTCCAACCACTTGGATGGGCATGCATTGGCAAAACACCAAGAACGTCTCCATGCACTGATTGACCCTCTCGGTTTGCCCATCTGTTTGTGGATGGTATGCTGTAGACATCTTGAGAGAGACACCAACTAGATGGAAAAGTTCCTGCCATAGCTGACTTGTGAAAACTTTGTCTTGATCAGATATGATTGAAGTGGGCATGCCATGGAGACAGTAAATGTTCTGAATGAACAGCTTGGCGACAGAAAAAGCCGTGAATGGATGAGCAAGTGGTATAAAATGACCATATTTGGAAAAACGATCAACAACCACCAAAATGCAATTCTTGCCCCCCAGAAGTAGGCAAACCTTCAACAAAGTCCATCGAGATACTTTGCCAAGCCATAGTTGGAACAAACAGGGGTTGGAGGAGACCTGGGTACCTAGAATGGTCGGGCTTCGCCTGTTGACAAGATGAGCACGAAGCGACGAATTGTTGGACAGAATTCTTGAGACCGAACAACTGCTTAATACGTCGGTATGTTGCTGGAAACCCAGAATGGCCCCCAACAGCCGAGGCATGGAAAGCTTCAATGATTTTTTGCTGACAGAAGAATCAGATCCCACCCAGATGCGGCCATGGTGGCGGATCAAGCCTTGCTTTAGAGAAAAATTGGGCTCGGCACCATCAGATATGGCCAACTTGGCGAGCAACTCGTGTGCCATGGAGTCAGACTCATAGCTAGAAATGACTACATCAAGCCAAGATGGAACTGCAGCACATATAGATTGCAATTTAGCAATGTGACTGCGACGAGAGAGAGCATCCGCATCACGGTTGTCAGCTCCAAGCTTGTACACAATGCGGTACTAAAGGCCAAGCAGGCGTGTAAAGACTTTTTGCTGCCATGCTGTATTTAACCGTTGCTCATTGAGGTGCGTGAGGCTTTTTTGGTCAGTGAAGATGAGAAATTCCCCCAACTGAAGGTAAGAAGCCATCAACTGCAATCAAAATGGCCATATATTCTTTCTCGTAAGCAGACAATCCTTGATTAACTGCAATCAAAATGGCCATATATTCTTTCTCGTAAGCAGACAATCCTTGATTCTTAGGACCGAGAGCTCGACTGAGGATGGCAAGGGGACGACCCTTCTGCAGGAGCACAGCACCAACCCCAGTATTGGACGCATCGGTCTCAGTATAGAACTGCTGAGAGAAATCAGGTAGAGCCAATATTGGAGCTGAACTGAGACTGTGTTTCAGAGTGTCAAATGCCCGGGCGTGGTTAGTGTCACTATTGCACATTTAGAACCGCCAATTTATGTCCAAAAGAGGAGAAATAAGCAAACTTTAGCACATATGCACATACTATTGACCTAGTTCCACATGTATTCCGAGAAAACATGTTTTGCGGGACAAATCCTGAAATCAAGTGGAAATGCCAAAAATAACGAAGAAAGTGCACAAGCAAACACATATTTCAGAAATGAGAAAGTGGAGAATACATGGAGAAGCCCATCTACACTTCAAATTTGGGCCGAGCACTGATGTGGGGATGATCCAGGCCCAACCATAAAGCAACCACGTGAAGACGGTGGTGAGGGGAGCCACCCCTCGTCTGCCACCACCTCTCAGGCCCACGTTCGTGTAGCGGTCGCATGGTGGCATGCAAAGGCAGTTCCCGGTGGTTTCCTAATTTTTCACCCCTGAAACCGACCTCACTTAGCTATAAATAAGAGGGTAGAGCTCCCATTCAACACACACAACATTTGGAGTCTACCTCTCTACCTCTACTTCCTTAGATTAGTTTTTTAGTCTTTTAGTAGCATTTAGATCAAGGCTAGAGCTATCAAGGAGGGCTTGGCTCCTTGGAAGAAAAGAGCAACAACTTGGTATGAATATATGAAGATTTGCTCTCATATTTATTATATAGCATTGCATATGAACTAGAGTATAGTTCTGTTCATGTTATCATCATGATTTATAAATTAGCATATAGTTTACATGTTATGATCTTGACATGATCATCATCGTTCTTCAATGTTCATATGACTCGTATTAGTAGATGTAGAGTCAGGGCTAAGATGAAGGTTCGTTGTATCTTCGGGTGTGCCCATGTCCTACGCTTGTCGATCCGTACATGGACGTGGTGCTCGGGTATACGGGAACCTTCGAATATGACGGTGCCCTCCGGTTGAGGGGTAGGCGACAGGTGGTGACAGCCCTGTCTGTCCCTTGTAATCCCCCACGTTCGGGTATTCGTGTAGAAGTTCGTAAAATCTCCATGGCTTGGCAGACCAGGTCGGGGACCTTCCCGTTCATCCTAGACTTCTTTGCTCTAAACTCTAGTCATATAGGTTGTATAATCATTTATTGTTCGATTTGTATAATCATTTATTGTTCGATGCACGGCTATATTAGAATGCCTGCTCCGCTTAGGAATATTCTTTTATTCATTATTTTTCTTTTATCCTTGAGGTAGATCTAGATGTGTGTCACATTATCTTTAAACCTATCATGGCTTACCACTATATCGAGCATTGGTCTGGTATACAGTCATGTTATCTTATTCATATCCATGCTAGACTCTTAACACCATGCCTTCCTTTGGAAAAAATATAAATAACGACACCCTGAATACTTCCGGATAAAATGCTACAACGATAATTCCATACGCTTGCGGACTCATTCTGTGATCGTTCAGAACTATCGTAGTTGGTGTTCCTTGGCGGGCGTTGCTAAGATTAACTCAATCTTAGTAATGGTGTCAAGGATTACCAACTGGCGTTTCTAGCGTCGTTACCTAGAAAGGACTTAAAACCTCTTTACTTGGTAATTGAGTTAAGAAACACCAACAGTTAGATGTCGATAGAAATAGTGTATTTTTCTTCAACGGATTGGTTAGAGGCTTAGAAATGATAGCATAACGATGCACGAAGCGACGATAGAAACTAGCGAGTCCTAAAAAACTGCGCAACTCCTTAACATTTGTAGGTGTGGGCCAAGAACTTACAGCTTCAATCTTCGAGCTGTCGGTGGCAATGCCACGAGCACTGACAGTGTGGCCCAGATAAGAAATCTCTGTTTGTGCGAACCGGCACTTAGATAATTTAATATGCCAATGGTCCTGAGCAAGCAACGAGAAAACCTGGCGTAAGTGTTCCACATGTTCTCCCATCGACTTGTTGTAGACCAAAATGTCATCAAAGAAGACAATTGCGCACCGCCGGAGAAGTGGCTTCAATGTGGTGTTCATGGCGCCCTGAAAGGTAGCAGGAGCGCCTGAAAGACCAAAGGCAACAACTCTAAAGTCATAGTGGCCAACATGGGTAGAGAACGTTGTTTTGTATTCTTCGCCCTCTTGTAGTCGGATCTGATGATATCCCGACAGCAAATCAAGTGTAGAAAAGTATTCTGCTCCTGCCAACTCATCCATCAGTTGTTCAAAGATTGGAATGGGAAATGTGGTCTTGACTGTGAGTGCGTTCAAATAGAGGTAGTCCACACAAAATCACCAACTACCGTCTTTTTCCCATACGAGCAACACTGGAGAGTTGAATGGAGAAGTGCTTGCCTGAATAAGGCCTTGCTGAAGCATGGCGTCAACTTGTGCCTCGATCTTATCCTTGAGGGCTGGAGGGTATCTGTAGGGCCGTACATTCACGGGCCGTGCCCCGTCAATGAGAGGAATAGCGTGGTCACAGTCACGCTTGGGTGGAAGCTCTGTAGGTGGTGAGGTGATCTCAGGAAATTCCAACAGCAGTTTACTGACAGCCGGAGATAGATCAGAACTCTGGGCTGAAGAAATAGCGGCCATACTGAAAATCTGAACCAGTAACTCATCGGCGCTGTCCGGAGGTGTTGGAGCAATACCATGGAGATGGATAGTGACACCATTGTAAGGAATTCTCAGCCATCTTTGTCGTCAGTCAACCTTCATTGGACTAAACAACTGTAGCCAGTCCATTCCGAGAATGATGTCATAAGCAGTCAATGGAAGCACACGTAAGTCATGGTGGAACTGATATTGTTGGATAGTCCAAACTACCCTAGGTAGGAAAGTAGAGCACGGCATGACATCCCCATTTGCCACTCGAACAGACATTGACTGACATGCTGTTGCTGCAATAGAAAGTCGAGATATCAACAGGTGACTGACGAAAGAAACTGAACTGCCAGAATCCAACAAAATCACCACTGGCTGCTGATGAAAGTGCCCCTAGAACTGCAAGGTCTTTATCCCAGAACATGCTATATTGTCAGCTGATAAGCAATAGCAAATCTGTGCTACATCGTCAGCCAACTGGTCTTCTATTGTCGGACAGTCCTCAGTGACTTCGTCAGTGAAAAGTGCATATAGTTCATCGAGCACATTGAGGCCCACTTGAGCTGCACATTTGTGTTCACGATTCCATTTCTCCCCACAGAGATCACACAACCCCCGGGCGTGGCGGAAAGCCTTGAGATCAGCAAGCTTCTTGTCCATTGGCTTCTGTATCAAGACATTCTTGTCAGCGGCAGCAGCTTGGACATGGTCTTGTCTAGGAGGTTGTTGACAGCCTCCCTTCTGATTCCATGGGTTGAACTCGTGTTTCCTAAATGGCGCCCCCGCTTCCTCCTGTAACAACGCCAAAGTGTACGCAATATCAAGAGAATCGGGGCGCTGAACGAGAAGAACAGCATGAATATTTGCATTGAGCCCATCTAAGAAGCGAGTGATGTAATGCAGGGCATTGGTGGAGGAATCATAGGCTGTGAGTTGGTCAACAAGTTCAGAAAAATGATCAACATAATCTTGCACAGAGGAAGTTTGGCGAATGCGGTTCATCTTGCAAAGGAGAAATTCATGTTGATCGCGATCAAAGCGGGTATGCAAGGCTTTACAAAATTCAGACCAGGTCATGGTTTTCAGTTTGTCAGTAACTGATTAGATCCAGCGTTTGGCAGGGCCAAGGAATTGCATGCGCGAGCACTGAATCCAGACAAAGGGATCAACAGAGTACATCACAAAGTAATCTTCAGCACAAGTAATCCATAGTTTAAGGTTGGTGCCATCGAAGGTGGGGAAAGTCATCTTAGGTAGCTTGTCGGTGGGGTTGCGGAAAATTTTAGGTGGGCGATTGCGCGACAGTACTAAATCATATGCAGTACCACAAAGCTTAGGGGGATTTTGGGAGGAATCCTGCATACCCGTGACCGGGGAAGGAACCAGGGTGGTGACAACCCCATGATCCTTCTCCCGGTAGTTGTGTTCATCGTGGTGCCCGTTGGGCCGACCAGCCGTAGAGCCAACAGATGCAGATGCGGCGTACTACTCCGATTTGACCGGTGGTTCGGGGAAGATGGCCGACTCGATGTGAACGGCGGCCGACTCGATCACCGATCTGTTCCAGTACTTGTCCAGCTTGCCGATGCGGAGGCGGAGGTCATCGATGATGCCCTCATGTTCCTGACGCCACTTGGTGAAGTCGGAGGCCGCCTGCTCGATGGCGATGAGGCTCCCGTCCTGACGGAGCTCGGAGTCGATGATTCGCTGCTCCACCGCTGCATCAATGTCCTTGAAGCGGCGGTCCAGGTTCTCTTCCACCTCCATGAAGCGACGCTCGAGGAGATCCCTCAGGTCAGAGAGTTGCTTCTGGATAGTGGTCTGCTCGACGGAGAGCTTCTGGATCTCCTTCAGCAGAAGTTGGGTGTCGGAGTTCATTGTTTCCCTCTGCGTGGCTCGGCGGGTGTAGTGGAATCAGATCGGAGGCTTGGGTGGTGGCGGTGGTGGTGATGGCGGCGGCGACGATCGATCCAGGATGCGTGGTCTCGGCTCGACTCACGGATCCGGGAAATTACAGGAACTCAATCGTGCTACAGCAGCTCACTGCGTGTGACGAGATCAACCAACCACGGTAAATTGCGAATCAAAGTAGAGGGGAAACAACGCTGAAGAGAATCGAAAGGCTTTGAATACCAAGTGTTAGCATCCGTAACCGATGCTCATATCAGATGAGATTTGGGGATCGGAAGCACAAGAACAGAGAAGGAGAGCAAGCAGGATACGGCAGAGGAAGGATTCTATTGTTCTGTTGTTTAATGTTTGTTGCCTGTTTCCCTTTTCATCTCTCTCTTTAATACTCATTACAGAGTAGCCTCTCTACTCATGTGTGCCACGCAGGGCCTAAGTACCTGGTGTTTGGAGTTGGAGCACGAGAGAAGCGACGCGGCCCAAAGCCTGGCTGCGGCCACCATTTGGTGCTGAGGTGCTCTCCTTGTTTTCTTTAGACTTCTCATCACCAGCGCTGCTGACAGAGACATCCATGTCCTGCCAGTACGTCGCCGGGGCCGCCACAACGCGTCCACGATCAGGCTCGTCGCCTCCACCCTCCCCGACAGGTTCAGCTGCACTGCCAACGCCAGCAAGGACCTCATCTCTGACCTCAACTACGGCTGCCACCGTCGTTCAAGAAGCTGCAGCTCTTGACGCGCTCCAGCATCGCGATCCACAGCAGGGGAGCAGAGGAGCGTCGCGCGTAGGCCACCGCGGGCGAGCGCCGTCGCTCTGGCTTCGCTCCGCCTCGCGCCCAGTAGGCCTATACGGTTCCTATAAGGAGCGTTCTTGCCTGTGAGTGGGCCCGTATACGTGGAAGGTCAGCAGTTCTTCAAATAGAGGAATTGTAATGGTGTATTTCTAAACTTGAAAAATTGTAATGGCATGGATCCAAGGAACCCAAACGGAAATGCTTTATTCCAAGTGTTCGACGCCTCGGACGCTCCCCACCTGTTGACGCTCCACTGACGCGCAGGACCACGGCACGGTGTTCCTCGACGTCCTCATCTATGTCGCCATGGGCGCGCTGATGGCTCGCCGCCCTCTACCGCACCGAGCCGCCGCTCGCCGCCCTCTGCCTCCGCGCACCGCCATCCGTCCCCTCACACGTCGCCCCCCCCTGCCCCTGCGCGCCGTGCTAGACTGCCACCCTCCACCCCTGCGCACCGCGTGGCGCAGCCGCGAGTGGAGGGCGACGGTGGACCGCCAAGTCCCCGTCCCCCGAAGGCACCCCGCTGACGGCCTGCTCGTCGCAGCCTCTCATGTTGTCTGCCTCGACGGCGCCCAGGAGGCCATGGCGCTGTGGTGGCTCAGCATTGTCGGTGCCATCATGGTCGCTAGGAAGCGAGCCCCACCCTCGCCGTTGTGGTGAATGGCACCCACCTCCCTTTCTCGGACTCCTCTGCCGACTTCATCTTCACTGGCCGCGCCATCGACTCCTCCAGTCGCCCTACTAACCTCGTTGGTGAGGCGGCGTGGATCAGGAAGTCGGACGCCCACCTTGGTCCTCGCCTCATCCTCTTTCTCCAACAGCAACAATTTCGAGAGCAACAATTCCATCTAACGCACGCACATATGTTGCAAACGCTTGTTGCAAGCTCTTCATATAAATGTTGCAGGAATTCATCTAGATGTTGCAAGTTGTTGCGACGTGGTAGTTGTTGATTTACAATGTTGTGACTGATGTTTTTCGATATTGCAAAAGATAATTTTTGGTGTTGCATATATTATCTCTCGATGTTGGAAACAGACAAGCGATGTGAACGCAACATGCCCATGTTGTGACTCATGCTTCCATGTTGTAAAAGTTCATTTCCGATGTTGCATACATTGGCCCTGTTTGGCACAACTCAGTGAAGTTTTTTTTTTGAAAAATAGCTTCATGAGCAACCTCTAGGCAGAGCTAAGCTTAAACTGTTTAGCAAAACAGCTTCGCCAACAACTTCATGTATGGTTGAGAGAGGGAAACGAGGGAGAGAACTGTGAAAAACTACTTTTTTCCAGCTTCATCACAACTTATCCCTTCATGAGAGGAGGAAAAAAAACAGCTTCACCTATAAAGTTGTTTTGAAAAAAGGTGTTTGGTAAAAAAAATTAATCTGTTGATGAAGCTTACCAAATAGGGCCATTGTTTCGCCATGTTGCCACGGGATTAGTGATGTTGCAAGTATTGCAGATTGTGGTCATGTTGCGCGCAACATCGACAGATTTTGGTGCATGATTTTTTATGTTACGACCGTTAGCTTTTAATGTTGCGAACGTTAGCTTTTAGTGTTGCAAATCTGATGGCATGTTGCACGCAACAACACCCTATGTTGCGGCGGGCGTCCGACGAGAGCTGCTCCCATACGATGTCCGGGCGCTACCGTACCCCTCACAAACTCTATCTACACGTCAACTTGTCAAGAAAAAAAAAAGAACAGGGATAGACCGCGACCTGTCGCGCGCAACGGAAACGCGCGATCCCACGCGACCCACTGCATGCGGGCATGCGGCCGAGCGACCACCCCCGCCCCGGGCGGCTGACTGAGCCCCACGCTCATGTGACTGACCAGCATAGTACCGCCGCACGTGAACCAAAAAAAGCAAAAATTTTCCTTTAAATTACTATAATTTTTAAATAGTACTAAATAGCGTGCATTGCTATGGGATAGCTGATATTTTATTTTTAAAATACATGGATCGCACGATAAGATAACAATTCTATAAAAATTAAATAGAAATATTAAAATGACATTTAATCCAAAAACAAAGTGTTTGAAATTAACACAAGTCACTAAGAGCACGACGTCGTAAGCTCACAAATTCTACTTTATAGATATTTTTGTGATGTGCCTAACATAATGTTTTATATCGGTAAGAAGAAATCTCCGATATTTATTTATTTCGTGCGCTAATAAATCCACGAATAAGTTCCGCTGCATCTCCATATCATCATATACACGGATTCAAGTATATATATATATGTATGTGGCAAGATTTACGATAAGTAATATATATATAAATAATTAAATCATAGATATTTTTATTGCAAGCAACGGTGAGTATCTGTATTTTTTTTTTACGATTGAATTTCTATTTGTGGCCGTGTATTGCAAGTTAAAGCGATGATACTCTTATTTATTTTTTTAAGACATCCTCTTTTCACCTCGCACGGGCACGCTACATATTAATGCGATCCGAGTGTACCTGGCATGCTACCTAAAAAGAATTTTTTTTTGCCAGAATCATAAAACCTAGCATCACTCAGGTTCTGAACTTCTAAAGTCCAGGAGAGATACGTACAAACGTAATAAAGTACGCACGCTGATACGATCACACGAATACGAATATGAGTTTAGCCAGGTATAGTTTTATACAGAAGAAGTGTATGAACTTCCATACGCTGGGCAGCTCTAGTAGTACACAAACGAGTTGATTCCATAGCACCAAGGAGACCTGTGCTAAACATCTTTTCTTTCCTATGTCCACACAAAAAACGACCCCCGGTGAGATATTCTTTCTAAGTCCACCCCAAAAAGTGTACCCAGGAAAACAACACATTTCAAATGAATCGTCCAGATGCATTCTAAGCCTTCTCTCTCCTTACTCATTACACAACCGAGGGTCTGGATTGAGTGTATCAAATCTCCTCATTCTCCCCTACACCCACGTCATGCAGCCCCCACCGAGTATTACGAACGCCACGCCGCCAAAAATCATGGAACTTCCCGGACACGCACGGAGACGGAGGCGGAGGAGGCGAGACGCCCTCCCGATCCGATCCACTGACTGCCCTTTTCCTTCCCGCGGCCGCACCCTCGCCCCCGCGAACGCCCACGATCGCCCTCCCGATCCGATCCGATCGACCGACCGCCCCCGCCCCCTGCGCGATGGCGCGAGGAGGATGCGTGGTCGGCGAGGTGGTCGCGAGCGAGGAGATCAGGTACGCCTGTATACTTCGATCGTCAAACATGTTGCCGCCGAGATGGATCCATGCCGCCGTATATATGTTCCATGCCCAGCTCCTGTCTTTGTTCTGAGATCGCATCTGAACACATGCATACACCTAACTGCGTATATACGTATAGATGCGTATAGGGTATATGAATTTTTTTATCTTTACTTTTGATCATAGTATATATGAAACTACAAAATGCATATTTTTTCCAAAGTACTATCGGTCACTTGCCGAGGCGGTTCAGATGTTCAGAGATGTAGCAAGTACGGTAGGAAAATTTTTCATCTTCAAATTTAGAGGTTTAGATTAGCATTTAGAGGTTCAGATTAGCATTTAGGCGGTTCAGATGTCAGTATTCAAATAACCACTGGCGGCAAGATATATCATGGTTCTAATGGACATGTCTATTATATTATTATTACTAGCCCTTGACGACAAAATGGGGACGCTAGGAGAAGGCCACATCAAGGCCAAATGATGTAACGAACATACCTACTCCGGTATTTTCATACACTCATATTTTTTATATAAGCCATCATCTATAAAAGTATATAAATAAACAAGGCCATGTCAACAACTTTGCAAATAAGAACAACGCAGGAGAGAGGAAAGGAATAGAAAACAACGTGAGTACCGCACTAGGATTAGGGCTCAAGAAACAAGCGAGCAAAAGGAGGAGAGAAATAAGAGGCAGCTGAGTACTACAGCTGGGACTACCGTGCTTCGCGAAATGCACAAACAACGGCACCTCCTAATGCACCGATCAACCAGTGCTAAAGAATGCTCTTTGCGGTCATCATCTGATTGCTATCTTTTATTATTAATATTACTTACTCGATCTTGTCTTATTACTTCAACAAAGCAGCAAATATCCAACTTATGGGACAACGATATCGACCATTCGCAACCAATTAACGAAGGATATTTTTCCGCCCAAAACATGAATTCT